AAAATTCTGACAAAAGATCATCATCTATAAAATATTCTTCATGTACTTACTCAATTCGATGATTTCTATGATAAATGCATTCTCAGATGTTACTAATGAATTATCAGTAATTTTCCATACAAAAATAGGATCTCAACAATTAAATTAGTAATTTATCAATTAAGTACAAATTCTCAGGTTACTCTCTAACTCAGAGTCAACTCGGACTATTCTTACCTCTCAAGGGTATTTTCGTAATTTCATAACCAGATAATTCTGGTGTTAAACTATTAACAAGGATAATATAATTTGAATATCCTATGGTTAATTGCTTTCTTGGATAATAACTTAACTTGAAATGATTCCTTATTAAACTTCTAGTATCTTGTACAAGCCATCTTGGTTTAAAAATTGATTGTCCAGATTTTCCAAGAAAAACTAGCATTTTCAATGCACATCAGTAGTTTCATCAGATCAACATGTCTTTAAAAACCTCTTATCCAACTTTCATGGTCAAATCTTGCCTTTTTACAATATAAGGGTATTTTCATAATTTTACCTAATCGAAGTATTCTCATAATTTATCATTTAAACGAATTAGGTTCGAGTCCATATATAATCAAACAGGCATAATAGTCCAATCATATACATCCATGCATTTATCAATTATCAACATGTTCCATAAAGCATAAAGAGGTAGTAATGTATTACCTTGATTTTTGTGTCATACTGATCCACCATAGAAATTCCATTCCAATGCCCTCGACCTTTAATTCAACTTACAATAATTACTCAGATACATATCAACAGAAATTATATAAAAAATGGAGCTTAATTACGAAAAACTGATCGAATCGGGTGATTAATCAGTCAAAAACAGCTTACCGAGTTCGAATTAGGCGAAACGGACATCGAAATCAGGATCAAGATGTCGACAAAACCCAAATAATAACTCTTGAATTTAAGCTTACCAACACAATTTCTTGCTTACAATCTTTTTCTCAAGAACCTGAACCTTTAAATATACGAACTCAAATCCAAAATAAATTTTCTAGCTATAAAAATAACTTATTAAAAATCCTTTTATGTAATAGAGGGACATAACTGACAAAATTAAGAACTCAAAGGGCCAATTTAATACTTAACTACCAAGGCAAGTGACCAAAATAATCTTATTCAAACCATTAGACAACATTCATAATTATAACGAAAATAAAAGACAAGGTTAAATTCTCACCAAACTTGGATGACTCCTGTTGTGATTTACCCTTCATCCTCTATTAAATTTTTCCTACAACCCACGTGCTCTCTCTAACCTTCATGCTTTACTTATTTCCTTCATTCTTTCATGCTTAATGAACTTTATCAGTGTGCTCACTTTCACAAAAAAATGAAGAGCATTTCATCTTCTCCAAATCACTTCCTAACACTTTGCATTAGTTTCAGTTCGAAGCAGCAGCACCAAGTAATGGCGGAACCAATTTCTTTCGAAATCATCACTAAACTGAGCTCCCATCTTCTTCACCGTCGACAACATTTCGTTCATGTCGAACTTCGATAAAATCACGACCTTGGTTCCGTTCGCGAGTTTCCCGATGGCGAAAGCTCCGAATCCATATATGTGGAACATGGGAACGGTGCAGATATGGGTTTCCTCTGGAGTAGTTAATATTTTAACTTGGCCGGCGACTTCAATCGTCACTGGCTCATTGTCAAAAAGTACGACGGGAATACCCAATCCAGCCAGCTTCGGGACGAGTTGGCCGGTGGTTATAACCGCTCCAAGATGCATCACGGAGAGGCATACGATGGGGAAGAAGATGAAATTCGGTGCGATGATTAGAACGACGTCGTCTCTCCTTATATTCAAACCCGATAAACACGTGGAAACAGAATCAACCACTCGCAAACTTCTGGAAAATGAGATTTGGCGACCGAAAGTGGGTTCGACGAAGGCGGTTTTGCTATGGTGAGGATAAGATGAAAGAAACGTAATGATGTCGAGGGAGCGATTGGATGGAAGTGAAAATGGAGTGCGTTTGTTGTAAAAAGTAGAATTTGAAGAACAAAACCCAGTTCTGGGGTCGATTGATAAGCTACTAAATTCAACCATAATAATGGTTTGATTGAGTTCTCTTCAGGAAACAAATCATTGGATCACTTAATGAATCTCATGAATAAAAATCCAAAATATCTTATTCATTAGTGGTTCCAATTATTTTGAATAGAAAAATATTTTATTTTTAATCTCCCCTAGTCAATCATTCACTCCCCCATTATCTTAAAATATATAAAAAAATAAATCAATCCATGTACTCAATCATTCACTTCCCCATTATCTTGAAATATATATATATAAACAAATCAGAACTTTAGTAATAATTGCATACGAAAATTCTAGAATTATTTATCAATTGTTCGATTGTATTTGAATATAAAATACCTTAGCTTTATAAATCAAATACACATATTTATCCATGTAATAAACCACCTCACTTTCTTCCAAAATAGCCATTTAAATTTAATACTTTAAAATTCTTAAAATTTAGCCCTTAAATTGGGGTGTTACAAGAAGAGCGAAGTTAAGCAAGTTAGGTCAGCTTCTCCTTTCCACATATCAGATAAGAAAAGAATTGAATCATATGTACTTTGTTTTACTGAATGTAGTTGGCATGTAATTAAAGATTTGAATCGAATATGCTCTAATAGATTTTGTAAAAACATATGATAGTATTTAATAAAAATTTTGGTTTTATTTTAAACCTGAAAATTAAGTTTTCAGTTATTTGGTAAAAGTAAATTATTTGAAAAATCAATGTGACACCTCGGATTCGTATTCGGATTGGATACGGGTTGGGGTGTTACACGGACTCCAATACTCAATTGAATTTCATTGATAAGCAAGGAAAATACAACAGAATAGAGAAGGAAATATAAGAAGAGAAATATGAGAGAATTAGTAAGGAAGAGAGGATAACATACTTGTAAAAACTTTTTAATGCTTTCCTTCTATCTTCTATTGCCTTTAATAGCCAGCTAATGTAACTACCAAACGAATCGATTTTGGAATGCCCTTTCTTACGTGTATTCTTCCTCGACATTTGCTGACTTGGCATGGACTATTCTTGGGTCATAACAATATCAGTCAATAATCTCGGAATAATTGAAACTACTATGAATATTGGAAAAGAAACCCTAGTATAAATGTACCACTCAGGTTTCTACTGCAGTTGATTTTGATTTTGATTTTATAATTGAATCATATTTAAATTTTTTTTTTATCAAGAGTACAAATATTATATGTTTAAAGTAAATGTCGATATTAGAATTTATTCAAGATGAGATAATATAAATATCTTTATCACTCGATCAATTGATAAATCTCGTAATGAAATTTGATAAAAAAAAAAAAACCTCCACTGCAATAATTCGATACAGAGGAAAAAATACTTCTTCCTTCCCTTCTTTACCATCTCTTCCTTTCTACAACAACAGGAATACGGCATTTTCTTTTCTCGGTGGTCTCAATAGCTTAGCTGATAAATAACATCCGATTGATGTCCAATTAGACATAAGAAACTGGATCATTGTCATAACCATTTTTCGAAATAGGTTTTATACGATCATTTTTATTATTTTATTTTATCATTAAATATATATATATATATATATATATATATATACTTAGATTTCGAGAAAATATGGTGTTTTAATTAAAGATGAAGTTATCATTGATCATTTGAGGTTAAATATAATGAAATTTTATAAAATTACATTTTAAAGAAAAAATTAAAAATATTTTTAATATCTATTTTTTAAACCAGAGAAAAAATTGAACGAGTTAAAAAGTCTATTAAGTATGAGAAAAATTATAATACGCGCAATATTTAAAATTGGTACTTAATTAAATTATCTTAATAGTGAAAGTTATCAGTTCTAAAATAATTTTACAATCCATTAATGCACGATTATTCAATAGGGTGAATGTTTCCGAAACAAAAAAAATATATAGAGAGAAATTTTTAAGTGTTGACATTTACTCGATTTTTATAAAATTAAAACCAACAAATAAAAAAGGAAATTGAATTAATTAATAAGAAAAGAAAAGGGCTAAAAGGAAAAATAACCCAAAATAGCACAAATCCTTCCCTCGGATCCGGGTCAAGGCACATATCGTTTACAGGTTGAATCCGATCCGCTTCCAAACTATATGTCATTTTTAAAAAACAACTTTTTCCTCACACCTAGAACCAATTACATCTGTCATATCAGTCACCATGCAAAAAACTGCCACCCACCACCGGGAACCATAAAGTCCTGATAAAGATGGAGCATTCTCTTGGGAAACTTTCAACATCCACCGAGTTTGCTTCCACTTGATGATTCCCTTATACTAATTAAGCTTGGTCTAGTGTGTGGGATAAACGTGTTTTGGAAGCGGCTCCTTTGAGTTTCGATAATCACATGTTAATATTCCATGCTATCCATGTTGCCTTGTTTTGTCTTCGTATATACAATGAGAGTGGTTTTCTAGGTCGTTTCGTCGACTACGATTCTCGCTTGGGTTGGGCCAAATTTATCTTTATTCGGTTCGAGGTAAGATATTTCGCGCCCTTCGCAGCAGTTTGTGACAGCTAATAACGTTGCTGATTCGTGGCCGTCTGAAATATGAACGTTTGCCCAAATTCAAACCCATCACATTTATATAAAATAGGTTTAACGGTTTTAAAAGAGGGAAATAATATATAACATCAAATTAAAAAACATTTTAAAAATAATTTCACCATATAATAGTAAAACGAGACAATCAACACATAAATCCAACATAGTCCAAGAATGTACACGAGATTCAAAAAATGTATTGGCTAATCCTGCAAGTGATCCGAACTTTTATCCTTCTAGGGTGCAAAAAGAACTTAAACGAGTAAAAAGAAAAGGCTTGTCCGGAGGTAAACTACAGGCCAAGTTAAAGTAATACACCAGTAACACTAACAAGAACTCAAGTGTCGGGCAATGAGGAGATTAGACGAGGTTTTCATTTCCATTTCTTTATCTTCTCACTGATTCTTTCGTGTATTCTAGAAACAAGCTCACAAACGTGACATTGATGAGATTCTCTATTGAATCTAAGAATAAATTATAATTTTACAAGCATTGGGGCATTTGAATGAACCGACAGCAGAGCACTTCTCCCAGAAAGCTTTAAAAAAAGATGGGAGATGACACTGTTGACAGTAGTTGTATTGGAAGCCTACCTGCTATGATGGCAGCTGCATCTGATCTTGTCGATTTTTAACTTTTATATCCCCAAGTATAATACATTACCTGATGTTGCGAAATAAACCGAGTAACGAGTAATTTTTCTATAATCAGATTAGTGAGAATGCGAAATAAAAGCAGAAAAATAATACCCGAAATTGATAACGGAGTTCAACCAATTTTACTTACGTCTTCGGACTGCTGCAAATCTTTTACTAAGAGAGAAAATTTACATGTGTTTACAAAACACTCACTACTCACAAGAAAGCTCTCTAGTATTGGGAGAAAGAAAATAATTTTGGGATGATTTTGAAGCTAAATGAGCTAGGGTATTTATAGTTGAAACTTAGGGACTAATCTTTGAAAATACCATAAAGTGCGATGACTAAAGTGTGATTAACCCATTTTAAAAATTCAACAAAATTTCTTGCACATTCGGTGCCTACCTTTTGAAATCTTGCACTTTCCACTTTCGGTGGAAATCAATTTCCAACAATCTCCCACTTGAAGACTGATTTTAATCTGTCTTCACACCTCGATCGATGCAGCAATATTTCTGGTCTTGTTATTCTAGCATGCCAACTTTGTCCGTAGTTACCATCTTTGTTAACATGTCTGCCAGATTTTGAGCTCCACTAATCTTTTCAAGTTTCAAAATCTCATCTTCCAGAAGAGATCGGATAAAATGATATCATCAATGTATGTGTTTCGTCCTAGAATGAAAAGACGAATTCTTTGCTAGATGGATAGCACTTTGACTGTCGCAATACAAGACATTGTTTTCTTGTTTCTTGCCTAACTCATCCAAGAAACTTTGGAGCCATACCATCTCCTTGCTGGCTTCCGTAACAGCGACATATTCTGCTTCAGTTGTGGGGAGAGCAACTATCTTCTGTAGTTGAGAAACCCAACTCACTGCAGTACCTCCTAGAGTATAGACATACCCTGTAGTGCTCCTTCTGATGTCAACATTTCCAGCTAAGTCAGCATCTACATAGCCTGTCAGTATTGTATCTCCACTTTTGAAACAAAGTGCTTTGTTTGTGGTACCTCGCAGATATCTGAGGATCCATTTGACAGCTTCCCAGTGTACCTTGCCCGGATTATTCATGTACCTGCTAACAGCTCCTACTGCATGAGCAATATCTGGTCTAGTACAAACCATGACATACATCAGACTTCCAATTGTTGAGGCATACGAAACCTTCACCATGTGTGCACGTTCATCCTCCGTCTTTGGTGACTGATCTTTGGAGAGTCTAAAATGAACACCTAAAGGTGTACTTACTGGTTTAGCATCTTGCATGTTGAACCTGGAGAGTACTTTGTTGATGTACTCAGCCTGTGATAACATCAATGTCCCCGACTTTGTGTCTCTCTTGATCCTCATCCCAATAATCCGCTTTGCAGCACCCAGATCCTTCATAGCAAACTGCTTTGACAATTCTTGCTTCAAGTTTATAATCTCTTACATGTCTGAGCCTGCAACGAACATGTCATCAACATACAACAATAAAATAATGAAGTTGTTGTCGAACCTCTTGATGTAGCAACAATGATCTGCTTGGCATATGGTAAAACCATTGCTACTCATGAAACTATCGAACTTCTTGTACCACTCTCTAAGAGCTTGTTTTAAACCATACAAGCTCTTCTTCAACCTGCATACCAGGTTTTTCTTGCCTGCCTCTATGAAGCCTTCTGGATGCCTCATATAGATTTTTCCTCCAAATCACCATGAAGGAAAGCTGTCTTTACATCTAACTGCTCAAGATGTAAATTCTTTGCAGCTACAATTTTCAACACCAGTATGATTGTAGACAGTTTTACGGTTGGAGAAAAAATTTCATTGTAGTCAATACCTTCTTTTTGCTTAAAACCTTTGACAACCAATCTTGCTTTGTAGTGTTTACTCCCATCGTGCTCTTATTTGATCCTGTAAATCCACTTGTTATGGAGTGTTTTCTTGCCTGGTGGTAATTCAGCTAATTCCCACGTCTGATTTGACATAAGCGAGTCCATCTCATCTTTCATAGAATACTTCCACTTGACTGAATCCTCCACCTGCATTGCTTTATCATAGCACTCTGGTTCACCATTGTCAGTCAGCAACAAGTAGTGCAAAGAATGTGAATAACGCTGGGTTGATTTAGGAATTCTGGATGAACGTCTTAGTTCTGGTGTGCTTGGTTCTTCTTGAACTGCTTCAGGACTTATCTGAACATCATTTCCAGAAATCTCCTCGAACTCAGCAAATTCCTTTATTTCAGCTTCGATATTTGAGCTACTTGATTCTATGGTTGACCTGTCTTTGTACATCACATTCTCATTGAAAATGACATCTCTGCTTCTGATGATCTTCCGATTTTCATAGTCCCAAAACCGGTAGCCGAACTCATCACCGCCATAACCAACAAAGGCATATTTGTTGGACTTAGCATCAAGTTTACTTCTTTCAGCAGAGTCTATGTGTACATAAGAAATTCAACCAAACACTCTTAAGTGTGAAAGGTTTATTTCTTTCTTGCTCCAAACTTCCTCTGGTATTCTTCCATCCAAAGGAACTGAAGGCCCACGGTTGATCAGGTAAACTGCAGTGTTGATAGCTTCAGCCAATAGAAATTTGGGTAATCCGACATGTATCCTCATGCTTCTGGCACGTTCATTCAGAGTTCTGTTCATGCGCTCTGCTACGCCATTCTGCTACGGTGTCATGGGAACTGTTGTCTCCATATTGATCCCATTGTTTGCGCAGAAATCTCTGAATCTCCTATTTCTGTACTCTCCTCCATTGTCAGACCTCAACCGCTTGACTTTCAGACCAGTCTCATTTTCCACCATGGCCTTCCATTTTCTGAAGGTATCAAAGACTTCTGATTTCTTCTTCAGAAAATAAACACACACATTCCTTGTAGAATCATCGATGAAGGTGACATAATATAATGAGCCCACAAGAGATGGAACTGGAGATGGTCCTCATACATCAGTATGAACCAACTCTAACTTTTCAGCCTTGGGTGTCTTACCAATCTTTGCAAAGTTGACTTTCTTTTGTTTGCCAAAGATGCAATCCTCGCATAGTCCGATATCTACATTCTTTAGATCTGGCAGCTTCCCTTTTGACAAAAGTGTCTCCATCCCTTTCTCGTTCATATGGCGAAGCCTTTGGTGCCATAGGTTTAATTTTCCATCAGCATCTGCGGCTGCAATAATATTCTCTAAATTTGAGGTTACATAGAGAGTATCAGTCTTTTTACCACGAGCAATGATGAGTGCTCCTTTGGTAATCTTCCATTCATAACCTGAAAAGGTTGTGCTATATCCTTCTCCATCAAGTTGTCCTATAAAAATTAAATTCCTTTTGAGGCCAGGAATATGTCTCACTCCTGTCAGCTTCCAGGTGGTCTGGTTTGGCAGCTTTAGTCGGATGTCTCATTTTCCGAAGATCTTCAAGGTTTCATCATCAGCTAGATGAACCTTCCTAAAATCACCACTGACATAGTTCTCCATGATTTCTCGGCATGGGGTGGAGTGGAAAGATGCCCTTGAATCCAAGATACATGATTCAATTGGACTGTTGACGCTTAGAATCATGGCATCACCTGTCTCCTCTGTCATGTTGGCAGAATCCTGTGTGCCAGTATCTTTCATCATCAGCTGCTGACTGCTGTAACAGTAGCATTCCAACTGTCTGGTAGAGATGATAAGAAGAGAATTAAAGCTCGAACTTAATCATCGAATTCAATTTTTACTGAACTCAACTAGGTTGTGATTGTGTTGAGTTCATTTAGGTGTTGAGTCACTGATGCCCCTTCCGACATCCGCAAATTGAATAATCACCTCATCAAATGAATTTTGTTTGAGGCCGATGGTTTCTCATACATACTGGAGAGAGCCGCCATAAGACCCGCTGTGGTCTTTTCCTTTGTTATGTTAAAAGCAACATTGCGGGATAACGCCAATCGAATAACTCCGAGGGCTTGTCTGTCGAGAAGAGCCCAGTCTTCATTCGTCATGCCCTTTGCTTGCTTTCCTGAGAGAGGTTGATATAGATTTTTCTAGTACAGAAAATCTTCAATCTGCATCTTCCAAAAGCCAAAGTCCGCACCATCGAACTTTTCAATTTTCACCTTCCCTTCGTCTGCAGCCATCGCACCCACTCGAATCTGGTTTCTTTGGATCGTTCTGACAATTTTCGCGAACCACCGTGTATTAGAACACCTCCGTCGACAAATTCGTATCGCCGACAAATTTTTACTATTCACGAAATTCACTATTCATATGAATAGTAATTAATAGTAACCTCGCAAAAATTGATAAAATTCACAACCAAAAGCTCTGATTACCAGTTGTTGGGAAATAAACCGAGTAACGAGTAATTTCCCTATAACCAGATTAGTGAGAATGCGAAATAAAAGCGAAAAAATAATATCCGAAATTGATAACGGAGTTCAGCCAATTTTGCTTATGTCTCCGGACTGCTGCAGATCTTTTACTAAGAGAGAAAAAATTTACAGGTGTTTACAAAACACTCACTACTCACAAGAAAGCTCTCTAGTATTGGGAGAAAGAAAATGATTTTGGGATGATTTTGAAGCTAAATGAGTTAGGGTATTTATAGTTGAAACTTAGGGACTAATCTTTGAAAATACCCTAAAGTACAATAACTAAAGTGTGATTAATCCATTTTAAAAATTCAACAAAATTTATTGCACCTTGACTTCTTGCACATTCGGTGCCTACCTTTTGAAATCTTGCACTTTCCACTTTCGGTGGAAATCAATTTCCAACACCTGAGAAACCTGCTTTTCACCATATTGCACCTCTTCTGTTCTAGGTATTTGATTAATGTGTGCTTAATAAACATCAAATGTTCGTGAAGTTTTGGATCCACTTACATTGGACGCGTTCAACCCAAATGTGGACGAACAGTTTTTTCCCCATCTAATTTCACCATTTTCGGAGGCCGATTTACTGCTGCTTAAGGATTTCGAAAAATATTTGATATC